GCTTGCACGGTTTCAACGTCATTTACCGTGATTTGAAACCCGAGAACATCCTTCTCGATTACACTGGCCACATTGCCCTGTGCGATTTCGGTCTCTGCAAGCTGGACATGAAGGATGAGGACCGGACAAACAGTAAGTCGAGTCCGAATGAATTTGTGTCAGCCTACTAACACCTCCTAGCGTTCTGTGGAACACCAGAATACCTCGCTCCGGAACTCCTTACTGGCGCTGGCTACACCAAGTCTGTCGATTGGTGGACACTGGGTGTTCTCCTATACGAGATGTTGACTGGATTGCCCCCATTCTATGATGAGAACACCAACGACATGTACCGCAAGATTCTCACCGAGCCTCTACACTTCCCTGGCCCTGAGATCGTGCCACCGGCCGCACGCGATCTCTTGACCCGCCTGCTAGACCGCAACGCTGAGAAGCGACTGGGTGCTAAGGGCGCAGCCGAGATCAAGGCGCACTACTTCTTCCACAGCATCGACTGGCGAAAGCTTCTTGAGAGGAAGTACGAGCCCAGCTTCAAGCCTAATGTGGTACGTAATGTCATCATTGTTCGAGGAGTCAAATCTAACATGCCCTCAGGTTGACGCAAAGGACACTGCCAACTTCGACCGCGAGTTCACTTCCGAAGCTCCAACAGATTCATATGTCGATGGTCCCATGCTTTCGCAGACCATGCAGCAGCAATTCGCGGGATGGTCATACAACCGCCCTGTTGCTGGTCTTGGCGACGCTGGTGGCTCGGTGAAGGATCCATCATTCGAGGGTGTGACAGAAAGATAGTGCATTCCTGGGCGTAACAAATTAGGATTCGGGAAATCTCCGTTGAGTATGCGTGTGGCTTGTCACGGCGATGGAGCCGACACCAGGCACAACACCCACCGGCTTTGGATCCACAGATAGAAGCCGTGGTGATTGGTGGGATCTCAGCGCTCTTTGATGCTTTTTTGGGTTCAGGTGCAATGGCATGGCGCTTGAGGCAGCATTTGTGTGAGAGAAGCCTAAATTCAGGCAAGCAAATCAAGACGATATCCCCTTTGAGTTTGACATGCACGAATCTTAGTGATCGGCTTTGTGGTGCTTGCAAATGCTGTAGGGCTGTCGGGGTGGGACCAACGGGATGTCGTGACAGCAAGCGCGTGGGAAAAGTGGTGCCCCTCCTTCCCTCAACGAAGCTCTGACGCAAGCGGGGCCAGGTCTCGGCCGCGACATTTCTAATGACATCGGCCAAAACAACAACCTTCACCTTACTCACACCCTCTTCATCATCTCGCACTTGCAATTGACCCTACCTCTGTCCAATTGTCCAAGTCCAAACCTTTATACCCCAACCCCTAGTCCCGCAACACAACATGCCCGGCTTCGCACAGGCCTCTGACCTCAACGCCTGGTCGGCGCTCCAGGACCACCACCAGAAGCTTGGCAAGGACATCGTCCTGAAAGAGTACTTCAAGAAGGATCCTCAGGTAAGCCCAGAAGAAGCTATCCCAGTACCTTTGCTAAAACATGGTAGCGATTCGAGAAGTTCAGCCGTACCTTCAAGAACGATGCCGAGAACTCCGAGATCCTGTTCGACTTTTCCAAGAACTTCGTCACCGAGGAGACACTAAAGCTTCTCATCGAGCTCGCAAAAGAGGCTGGCCTCGAGAAGCTCCGCGATGACATGTTCGCTGGCGAGAAGATCAACTTCACTGAGAACCGCGCCGTCTACCATGTCGCCCTTCGCAACACCTCCAACCAGGAGATGAAGGTCGATGGCCAGAGCGTCGTCGAGGACGTCAACTCTGTTCTCGACCACATGAAGGAGTTCAGCGAGCAAGTCCGCAGTGGCGAGTGGAAGGGATACACTGGCAAGAAGATCGACACCATCATCAACATTGGTATTGGTGGTTCTGACCTGTATGCAATTCCACGCAACTTGGATACGCTTCAAAAACATGCTAACTCTTTTTAGTGGCCCCGTCATGGTCTCAGAAGCTCTCAAGGCTTACTCCCAGCGCGATCTCAAGATCCACTTCGTCTCCAACATCGACGGTACCCACATCGCAGAGGCCCTCAAGGACTCCAACCCAGAGACCTCTCTCTTCCTCATCGCCTCCAAGACCTTCACCACCGCCGAGACTGTCACAAACGCCAACACCGCAAAGTCATGGTTCTTGAAGAGCGCAAAGCAGGAGGACATTGCTAAGCACTTCGTCGCCCTCTCCACCAACGAGGAGGAGGTTACCAAGTTCGGCATTGACAAGAAGAACATGTTCGGCTTCTCCGACTGGGTTGGTGGACGTTACAGTGTCTGGAGTGCCATTGGTCTGAGTGTTGCTCTCTACATTGGCTTCGACAACTTCCACCAGCTCCTCGCTGGTGCCCATGCCATGGACAAGCACTTCAAGGAGACCCCTCTCGAGCAGAACATTCCCGTCATCGGTGGTCTTCTGAGTGTCTGGTACTCCGACTTCTTCGGTGCCCAGACCCACCTTGTCTCTCCGTAAGTTTCAAAGTTGCTATCTTGCGAAAAGGCTTAGTCTAAATCTTTCTAGCTTCGACCAGTACATGCACAGGTTCCCTGCTTACCTCCAGCAATTGTCTATGGAGTCGAACGGCAAGGCCATCACCCGCAGCGGTGACTACGTCAAGTACACTACCGGTCCCATTCTGTTCGGTGAGCCGGCCACCAACGCTCAGCACTCCTTCTACCAGCTCCTCCACCAGGGCACCAAGCTCATCCCCACCGACTTCATCCTAGCCGCTCAGAGCCACAACCCAGTCGAGGGCAACAAGCACCAGAAGATGCTTGCATCCAACTTCTTTGCCCAAGCTGAGGCCCTCATGGTCGGCAAGACCCCCGATGAGGTCAAGGCTGAGGGTGCGCCCGAGGACCTCGTCGCTCACAAGACCTTCCTGGGTAACCGACCCACCACATCCATCTTGGCCGACAAGATCACACCTGCCACTCTTGGTGCTTTGATCGTCTACTACGAGCACCTCACCTTCACCGAGGGCGCCATCTGGAACATCAACAGCTTTGACCAGTGGGGTGTCGAGCTCGGCAAGTCATTGGCCAAGAAGATCCTGTCTGAGCTTGACGAGTCCAAGGAGTCTTCTTCTCACGATGCTAGCACAAGTGGACTCATCAACGCCTTCAAGAAGAAGTCTACTTTGTAAACGGATGATATGTGACGAGGCTGTAATGGCTGAATGACTTGATGACTGGAGGATAAATTATATAGCAAGCATCTTAAGTATCTGTAGGTGATACCGAGATTATGGAACACCAATGGACACATTGAAGTATATTGTCACGCCTGTGTATATACACGGTCACATGTCAAGCTCAGTCGACTCTCTTGCCTCCGCCTCCGTAGCCATATCCTCCCAAACCGTAGCCACTGCCCATGCCGCCTCCTCGTCCGTTGGCGACCGGGAGCCCGTATCCACTGCCTCCGTTTCCAAATCCTCTTCCACCTCCACCATTCATCCTATCCGTAGCATACCTCTTCAGCCGTCTCGGCAATTCAACACCCCGGAAGTAAACAACGCAAACAGCCGCACTCGCCACGGCACTCAAGAAACAGTACACCAACGTACTAGTATAAATATGTCCTCCATATCCACTCCAACCCGGAGGCAGCGTCGTGCTGGGATACCACCGCACACTGAACGCCAGACTCAACGGATCCCCAATCGTAATCTTGGTATTGCGCGTATGACTCGACACGGAATACGCAGTCGCTGCATCCACCGTCCCGGGCGCCACACTCTTAGGACTAGCATGAACCAGCAGGTTCAAATAATTCCCCACATGCAAATGGCTCAACTGCAGCGTCCCCGCCAGCGCAATAATGAGCGGCGTGTACATTGTACTCTGCGTCCCCAACGCACCCTCCTGTGTACTTTCATCGCTGACCCGGTATTCAGTTTCTAGGACGCTGGGTGGGAGCGGTTTGGACGGGATGCGGCAGGAAAGGGGCGCGTCGTTGTGGATGTAGAATTCGAGCAGGTGGAAGAACTCGTCTGTTACAAAGTCTATGGTGCAGTTTACGTCTTTTTCTACGCCGAAGTTTAGGTGGAGGGGTTGGCCGGTTTCGTTGCAGGTGGGGAAGGGTATGTATTGGAGATGGCCGGCGGCATCGGTGATCTGGGAGGGGGTGTGTTAGTTGGTTTGGAGGTGTTTGCGCGGGTGGCTTGGGGTGTGAAGGGAGTGGGCGTACATGTTCACCGGTTTCTCTGGTTGGGGTTAGCAATTGCACTCGCGTCTTTTCGTGGAGGTGCTGTAACTTACATGGTCCTGTTCAAACAACTGACTGGTATCATTTCCCCCGGGTTGTATCCTCGTGCCTCTTCTGCGCTCTTCATGGGCTCCTGTCCGCTCAATGCTGCTGCAAAGGACGAGAACAACGCGATGACAGGGAGCCATGATGGTGACTTTCGTTGCAATATCATGGCGATTATGATATATAGGAGGCTCAAGGAATCACTAAGCGCATGTGTAGTTGGTGCTGCGCGTAAGGCAGCTGCGACGGTCGAGGTGCATGTGTCAACTTGGACATTGTTGAGTACGGATCGAGGTCCCTGGCCTGTGCCCGCCCGCGGCAAAGACACTCCCGGTGCAACTCCGCAATCCAAGCTTCACCTGCGCGACATGGTTGTCAAGACGAAAAAGATGCCGACTTGCTTTATTTACCGCGGAATGTGTTCTGTTCGTGCTTCAGAAGGGCCAATTGAAGTCAAGCTGTATAAAGCCACGTCCTGGACTTGACAATATGATGGGTGGATTCATGTGTATTCAGGGTGACCCTCACAGTATCGTGCAGTATGAAGTATTGCTACATCTTTAGCTTACGGAGACAATCGTGATCTCTTCATATCTATCAAATCGAGAAGCAGTCATTGCTTCCTATGCAAATTCTGTTACAGTACAATATGTACACATCCGATTTACACACGCCCCTCCAAACCATCCCCAAGTCACAGAACAAGAGCATTCGGATCTACCATCCCTTCCTCGTCAATTCCGTCACTCGGTTTGTGACGTCCTGGAAACCCTTTCGGAACCTCGCCCTCCACCGCTCAGACGCCAACCGCTTCCGCTTCAGTCCGCCTCTTTCGTGGAACTTCTGCTTGTTGAAGTCGCTCTTGACCTTGTTCCTTGCCATTAAACTTCCCAACATGCCGATGCCCCTCACAATATCACGTCCGCGGTTGACATCCAACTCTACAGTGCGTCCATATGCGGGGTTCAAGCGCGGGTACTGGGCAAATGTCTCTTCTTGTTGTACAGCGAGAGGTGACGCCTCGGAGGGTTTGTTGGCGAGGGTGGGATTTAGCATTCCATCGGTCGTCGCCATTTGGCTGAAATCCAGGCCTGGCCTCCTACCAGGTCGTCTGCTGCCGGAGCCCGCAAACTCCTCGCCGAAGACGCGGTCGGTTGGTGTGTTAGGCCTTGCGCTCCGAGGCATGCTGCCGAGGAGAGCGTCCATTGTCTGTGTAGTATTTCTTTGGGTGGTGGGCTGTGGCCGAGGTTGTGGTGCTGCGGCCTCCCGCTCAGGAACGTAGCGGGCTTGCGGCCGTTGAGCTTCCCGTTCGGGTACATAGTGCTCGTCGTCGTTCTTCGGCAGTGGTTGTTGCGCAAGGCATCTCGGTGTGTTCGAAATGGCTCGTTGACATGTCCATGTCGGGGTTGTCCGGCTCGAGGTGTGTGGTATCCGTGTGAAGTTGGCAGGGCGGAGCAGAAGCTCACCCAACGATCGTGAGGCCATTCTGAATCTCTGCTGCTACAGTATTGACATGGGCGGGGTGCTTAGACGTGCTGGCGGCGGGCAATTGCGGGATGGCTCCGGTGAATGATGGAGGTCATGCACGTCGCGGTTCCCAAATTTGTCGGCGATATAGTGGTCCGAGCGTTCCTCGAGCTCCAAATCTCAACTGTGACTTCTTCTCTCACTGCAACACGCGACAGCGACCTCGATACCCTATCCAACCTCTCTCTTTCAATAATCCCACCAAGTCCGGCGACTGTATATCTGCGCAAGATGTACGGCTATCCTGGTATGTAAAGTGATCCTTTGCGACGCGAACTCAGCTAACATGCGCAGGTGCTCCGGGCTACAACCGCCCTCCGGGCTTCGCAGGCACTCCGCCAGGCATGGCAGGCATGGCAGGCATGGCGCCGCCTGGAATGGGTATGTGATAGCAGTAACTGACAATAGCAACGCTGACATTGCGCAGGTCCTCCCGGCGCAGCAGCTCCCCCCGGCGTAGCAGTTCCCCCCGGTGTCGCGAACGCCCAAGGCCCGCCAGCAATGAATGCACCACGCGCTCTGCCATCCGGATGGGCACCGCCCACCAACATGCCCACCTTCAACTTCAATGCGCCCGTCATCCGTCTGGGAACACAGGGCGGACGAGCTGGCGCTGTCGACAGCCCTGTAGGCGGCCGAAGAGACAACGCCGCACCACCCGGTCGCCGTGGCCTTGGCATGGACAGAGATGGCGATCGCAGGGACGCCGTCCAGCCCGTTAATCCCCCGTCGCGCGAAGATATCGCGCGAACCATCTTCGTCGGCAACATTCCCGATGGCGTTGGAGGCGATGAGGGCATGGAGCGCATCCTCGAGACGGCAGGAAAGCTTGTTCGGTGGACGAGAGCTACCGACGCCAACAACAAGCCCCAGACGTTTGGGTTCGCCGAGTTTGGAGACGCCCAGAGCTTGGAGACAGCCGCCGAGATATTCAAAGACGTGCGTGTGCCTACAAAACGTCAAAAGGCCGGCAAGCCCAAAACCGACGACGGCGAACAAGACGAGGTGGAGACGACCAAGTTGCACGTCATGGTGGATGATGCTTCGATCAAGTACGCAGAGGAATGGAGCAAGACCCGAAACGAAGACGAGGCCACGGTTCAATTCAGGCTCGACAGTGCCAAAGAAGCGCTTTCCTCGGTCCTCGCGAGCTTTTTCAACCCGCCGAACGCACCCAACGTCGACTACGCAGGAGACACAATGATGCAAGATGCACAGGCACAAGACGGTGAAGACGTGGAAGTTGCATTCGTCAACCTTGCGAATGGCGAGGATGAGCTTGCGGACATCCCTGCAGAGATGCGCGAAATTGTCGCCGCAGAAATTGCTGCCTTCCGCGACCGTTCCAACCAACGCGATCGCGAACGACTCCTGAAAGAAGAGGAGCTTGAGGCCGAGGAGCGCAGGCGTAGTGGTAGACGTGCATCCCCACCACCATCCGCCCCTACTGGACCCGGAGGTGCCAATGGTGTACCGCTGGGCCCCAGAGCAGAACGGGGTGTTCAAGGTGCACCCAGTGGGCCCAAGGGCTCACAGTTTCCCCGAGACTACCAAGGTGGTGTCAACTTTGTCAATGGCGGTGCCGTACATAACGGCGCATACATCAACCGCGAGGACGACGATGACTCCGCCAGCGACTCAGAACTTGAGCGTCGTCGCAAGAAGAAGCGAGCAGAAGAAGCTGATGAGGCATACAAGAAGCAACTCTCCCGCTGGCTTCAGACCGAGCGTCGTACTTTCGCTTCCGTCGAGCGTACAAACGACTACTTCAAGAACATGGACGCGGAGCGCGAGAAAGCTCGTGCAGCACAAGCGAAGCAACTTCGAGAATTTGACGATGATCAAGAGGCAGCTTCGAGACGCGATCTCTACTACCGCGATCACAGCGACTGGATCCGCGACCGCGAGTCAGTCCGTGGACAGGAGGCAAAGGAAGACGCGATCGATCGCGAACAAGAACGGCGCGAGTTGGCCTCGCAGAGGAAGCAGAAGGACCATGCCCGCGGCCAGGCCGATGCCTTCTTGGAGGAGCAAGGCGAAGAGCTTATGCGCAGGGAGGAACAGCGCGAGCCAGCTCATTTCAAGATCTCGCTCGGGGCCGCCGCCAAGAAGCTCGAAAAGACTGCCGCTCCCCGTCGAACCGCCGCCGATGTCGAGAATCTGCTCGAGGACGAGGACCTCACAGATCAATCCGGTGCCAAGAAGCGAACTCTCGTGCCCATCAACTTCGATGCGGCTGTACGTGCCAACCTTACGCAAGAAGAAATCGAAGAAGCCCAGCGACAGTTGGCGCGCGACATTCCCAACGACAAGGAAGGCCTGTGGAAATGGCCCGTCGCTTGGGAGCATTTGCCTCAGAAGAACATCGACAAGGATATCAAGCAGTGGGCTGCCAACAAGGTTCTTGAGCTCACTGGTGTACAAGAAGAGATGCTTGTCGACGCTATCGTGGACCATTTGAAGAGCAAGGGCGCACCGCAGCCCCTGGTGGAGAACTTGGAAGTGGCTCTCGATGACGAAGCCGAGTCACTCGTGAAGAAGCTCTGGCGTATGGTCATCTACTACAGTGAGACCGAGAAGAGGGGTATCAAGTGAGCACGTTGCTTTTTGCTCATGTGGAACAGCAATCTATCTTCGACAGTGCCTTTCGGATTCATCACCGATGTGGCTCTTGCAATCCTCACGAACCGGGCGAGTGAGTATTTGGGAGGTCTTGGTCTTGTTTGGGTAGTATTGACGCGCTGTAGGGTCCTCGGATCTTGCATCACGAAACGACGTGTAGATAATGGGCGTATGGTTGGAATGGAGAGTCATACCAGGTCCGTCCTTTTACTTTCGATTGTCACACCACTAATACACAGGCGTTCTTCTTTTACCGTTGTTCAAATTTGGATGATGCTTCGCTGTAGTTTTATGGGGCGTAAGTATTATGCGTGCTCTTTTTGCTTTGCTGATGTTCAGCATTGAGAGTCTACCTTGATGGTACTCATGATCCTCGGGTTGGACTACTCCTTAAACCCACTCATGCCACCCCGCGGCCGGTAAGCCTTGTTTGCCGCGGTATTTGATCACACTTCATGATTGTAAAGAAGTCGTTGGGGTAGGTCAGGAACAAGCTTCATATTGAACTACTTGCCCGTGTCATCACGGCGGCTTTCCACGTAGTTCCTCCTCGCACGCTGTTAAGCGTTGTCACGCGTCGTCAAGCCCAAGCTTCTCGCCTAGCCGCGAAGCACCTGGAGCCGCGTTCTGGGCAAGGGACCCCTATAGTTCGTGGGGTGTAGCACTGTACAGCTCACGTGTGAGGTAAATAAAATGCCGGCAACGTTGCCAAATGCCCCGATTTTTCCAGCCCCAGAAAGTGGCGCGCCGAGATCTTCCACGAATGATGAGGGGCAAGTGGGGTGGAATTCACGATGGCGCGGGCGGTTGGCACTATTTGGCGTGGAGATGCGTGGAGTGTTGTGCCGGATGCCTTGCCAGTTAAATAGACCGTCTAGATCCTGCCTCCGGACGGAATAAGTATCTCGCTCAACCATTTCACCTTGACCTCTTCATTCATCTTCATCTTTCCTGGTGTTCAAGTTTGCTTGAAAAGAATCTCAACTTCTGGTAGCTTTGCGGGGTATTCCGATCATTCCGAACATCGGTAGCAACACAACGAAAACATCACAATGGCCATTACAATCACAGGTGCTGAGACGAGGGATGTGCGGTTTCCGGTATGCTCCCTAGTCATTCAAGCTATACAATAGAGAAAGAGGAATCTAACGCGTCTGCAATAGACATCCCTTGACAAGACTGGTTCCGATGCTATGAACGCAGCGGGAGACTACTCTTCAGCTTACTGTATCCTACACACAGACTCTGAGTTCAAGGGTCATGGTATGGTAGGTCTAATCTCATTCGATGTTGGCCATGAGTAGAAGAGATGAGCTACTTTGGCGAGTCCGCCCTGATCATCTCATCTCTTCCCCCAACTCATGGATACCCCTGAACCGGCCAATTTGTGACCACTTGGCAACTGAATCCATTCGTTTCCTGATTGCTTACAATTTGCAGACCTTCACAATTGGCCGCGGTAACGAGATCGTATGCACCGCCATCGCCTACCTTGCCGACCGCATCAAGGGCCACACACTCGACTCACTAGTTGCCAACTGGGGAAAGACATGGCGCCACTTGGTAAACGACTCTCAACTCCGGTGGATTGGACCCGAAAAGGGTGTCATCCACCTCGCTCTCGGTGCCGTCGTAAACGCCATCTGGGATCTCTGGGCCAAATCGCTCGGCCAACCTGTATGGCGCATCGTTGCAGACATGACACCCCAGCAAATAGTCGACTTGATCGATTTCCGCTACATCACCGATGCCATTACCCCCGAGGAGGCGCTGGAGATCTTGACCAAAGCCGAAGCCGGTAAGAAAGAGCGACTCCAAGAAGCCCTTGATAGCCGCGCTGTCCCCGCATACACTACTTCTGCGGGATGGCTCGGTTACGGTGAAGACAAGATGCGTGGTCTTCTGAAGGAGACACTGTCAAAGGGCTACAAGCACTTCAAGCTCAAGGTCGGCAGCGATATTGCGCAAGATAAGCAGCGTCTAAGCATCGCACGAGAGATCATTGGTTTCGACAAGGGTAATGTGCTCATGGTAGATGCGAACCAAGTCTGGAGTGTACCGGAGGCGATTGAGTACATGAAGGCGTTGAAGGAGTTCAAGCCGTGGTTTATCGAGGAGCCCACCAGCCCTGATGACGGTACGTACCCCTTTCCTTGCTTCTATGTTATAGAGAAACGCATACTGACCTCAACAGTCCTCGGCCACAAAGCGATTCGCGAAGCCCTAAAGCCATACAACATCGGCGTCGCAACAGGAGAAATGTGCCAAAACCGCGTCATGTTCAAGCAATTCCTCGCCTCAGGCGCCATCGACATTTGCCAAATCGACGCCTGCCGTCTCGGTGGTGTCAACGAAGTCATTGCCGTGCTCCTCATGGCCGCCAAGTTCAACATCCCCATCGTACCGCACTCGGGTGGTGTCGGTCTACCAGAGTACACACAGCATCTTTCCACCATCGACTACGTTGTTGTGTCGGGGAAGAAGTCGGTGTTGGAGTACGTTGACCATCTGCATGAGCACTTTTTCCACCCGTCCAGGATTGAGAACGGCTACTATGTTACTCCTATGGATCCTGGTTACTCGGTTGAGATGAAGCCTGAGAGTATGGATCGGTTTAGCTTCCCTGGTGGTAAGGATGGGTGGTGGCAGAGTGAGGAGGCGAAGCCGATTTTGGAGGGTATTAAGATCTAAAGATGTAGTTTGGTAATCGTCGAATGAAATAATCGTATTTGAGCGAGTAGATGCCTTGTGCTAAGCGCAGATGTCCTTCTGTTACTAATACATCGCGTTCGCCCTCTCCGAGACTACCTGTAATCACACCCCCTCAAGAAAGATACTCCTCCTACCCTCGATGTATTCCTCCCAATCCCCCATCATGTAGCGGTAAGATGTGTTTGCGAAAGAACTTATGTTCTACCATACACTTCCTAAGTCTTTGCTCATCAAACGCTTCCTCTTTGGTAAAGAACAACCCAAAATTGCGACATTGGCTCAGCCGAACAGCTAAAGTCTTGCAATGGTCGTTGATAACACGCAGATGGTTACCAAAAGGTACGCAAGTCCCATTTCCATAGAAGACTGAGGGAAGTCGACGTTGAAAAAGCGCTGCCTCGTGATACATAAGACACAACGGTCCGAATGTCAATAAACGGAATCGGACATGCACCCTGGGATTTTCGATGCAGTAGTCGGCCAGAAGATTTAGCTTATGGCAGGGGCCGGCTAACGTAATGCGCAACTCATCGAAGTGCCCTTTCACGATGAGGCCTCCGACATCCACTCGTTCATCTTTGGAGCGAACAGATGATCGAATTTCCACAGTTTTGACTTTAGAAGTCCAAGACTTGTCGCATTGGCGCACGAAGCGGATGAACTGATGAGTAGCGTTTTGAGCGCATACGGTGTCTTGGGCGAATACGATATCGTTGTATAACAGTGACAAGTGTTTGGTCTCTTCGTAGAGTTGCTTGCACACGTATTTGAGCTGGTTGTACTCGGATGTAGATTCCGCGGTAGAACATAGCTTGGCGCCCTGCGCGGACTCATGCTTGTAATACGCATCTACACACTCTTGGGGTGTTGCGTGCCAGACATCGTCTATACTGTTGACCTCTTCGGTCACTGCCTGGGGTATTGATTCGAAGTCGATCGAGTCGCGATAGAAGAGTTCGTGATGGTTGGCAGTGAGTGCGTATTTGTAGATCGTGTTGCGTATCTCGCCTGGCAATTGGAGGAAGCGATCGGTGCCGTCATGGGTAGGAGCTGACTTGCTGTACCCACTGGTCATCGGGTCGGAGTCTCCTCTCGCGGTTTTGCTAGACGCGTTACTCATGTCGATATATTCCCTAGTTTCAGAGTTTAAGCGGGCAGGAGGGGCAGTCGTAGGTGATGGGGTTTTGGCGGCAAAGAATAAAATTATACTCATGCGAAGGGACAGCCTTGGAACCCATACGTTTAGACTTGGTCAGATGGCAACGAGAAAAACTCTTTAATCCACATGTCGAAGGAGCCCAGACCAGTTTCGTACTTGTTATGGGGATATCATTAGGCGACCCAAGGTACAACAATTTGTTTGTAATTATTACGGAATATGCGTCGCTTCCCTTGAACTAAGTACTCAGAAAGATCCTAGCGATTAGGAGTTATCAGCCACAGGTTCGCATCTCCAACGTTGCTTGCCAGGAGTATGCAGCTCTGTACCGGTGACTAATGATCACTTAAAGTAGCTTCTCGACTCTTCCTCACGATATCCTTCAACTGTGCCATCATTGCCATGTCTGTGGAGTCTTGCTGGCTCTCCGTCCTTGGGTCCTTCCAAAGCAGATCAAACTTGATCTCTTTCTGTTCGTTGATACGTCTTACAAACACTACAACAGGTTCATGTATGAGAGCCGCGGTATCCCACTTGTGAGTCTGAATCTTGAATATAACGTGCTGCACGTTCATTGTGACCCCTGGAGTCTCTTCCAATCCCCTGAAGGTAAAGATGCATGCGTCTAGCAGGCGATGTCGAAGTTCAGGATCGGCTATGCTGGCGTCTTTGGCGATCGTGGCAGGGACATTGACGGTAACGTAGGGTAGATGTAGGCTCAGTAATTCGCGGAACGAGGCGAAGACGTCGTCGAAGTATATGCGTGGTGCATTTGCGTTGGCAGGTAGCGAGCGTGTATCGCGCATTCCGAGACGGACTTTCACATTGTGAAGGTGGGAATGCGTCTGAATCTGGGGCGTGCCGATAACCGTATCTGTCTCATTGGTGGAAAAAGCGACCTGAACCATATCGATGCTCTTCTGTACTGCGCCGTTCATGACTAATTGGCTCTCGGCAACGATCATGCTGGAAAGCTCTTGACGGGTCTGCTTGCAAGCGCTAAGAAGACCGGTAACGTCTCGCAGGCTGGTAACATCCGGCAGGAGATACTGATAGACTTCGTTTCGAATCTCTGCAGGCATCAATAAGAATGATAAACTCTGCCTTTGTGTAGGTACGAGAACAGGGGTAGGAACATCCATAGTGCGTGATATGTCGATGCTTCGGGCGTTGCGAACATCCTCATGAAGCCGCTGTGCGAGTTCGTCGTGTAATCGTCCTCTGTACTTCTTCGATACAGTCATGAGTATTTTCTGGAGCCTGTTTTTAGGTTTGGTAATCGTGACTGTCGTTGCATTCGCCAAGTCAGGAGCTTGTTGATCGTGTCGCGTGAGTCCTTTTTTGCTGATATGGGTTTCGCGGGGGCGGGGGACATTAATGACTTTTCGGAGACGACATCTTGCCCGCTTGAGAAGAGGTTCTCTCATTGGAATAGACACATGCAATCAGCCTGGACACTAGGATCTGTCTATGCTAGGGTTGAGTCAAGTAGAGCAAGAAGATCGTTCCTAATGCTGCCCTGGATAGTCGAATATGCCGACAGAAATTTCTTCTCATCGTTGTCGAAAATGGCTGTATTCATGACGGTGATCGAGCCGAGAAACATGCTGTTGTTTCATAGGTCTCCGATTGGCAGCAGCGGTCCAGTCTACCACTGAAAGCAGTGGGGCCAACCTAGGAAGGGGAGGTGAGGGGTGGACCGGCCACTCCCAAGGCGTTCTTATAGTGATACATCTCCAAATGTATTCGGTGGACTTCACGAGAAAGGTCGCTATCTGGAAGGCCGTTATTGGAAGAGTGGAGATGGCAGAAGATGAGGCTCAACAAATGCGAGTATCGGGATAGTCGGAACGTTCCGCGCAGCGGCTATTGAAGGCCCATGGCATGACTCCGATGGTGCATGGCCACCTCGTATCCTCTCAACTCAGATCTCATATATTACTACCTATGTGCTGCTGAACATTGAAATAAGTATTGATTACAGAAACGCTCGCAGGTTTCCATTGTCGGATTTACTACCCCACCTGCACCCCGCCTCCCCGCTTTGATCACCAAGGTCGACCCAGAAAGCATACCCTCCCCGGAGGCTATTATTAACAGCTACAGTCGCTATGGCTCCTCCTCCAGCTCCGGGCGTATGGTGCCCCGCAGTAACCTTCTACACTTCCGAAAGCGACACGGCAACCTTGGATCTCGCCGCACAGAAACAGTATTTCCAATACCTCTCCAAATCGGGTCTTACTGGTTTAGTCATTCTTGGCTCTAACGCTGAGGCATTTCTCCTCACTCGCGATGAGAAGAGAGCGTTGATGAAATGTGCTCGTGAGGCCGTCGGCCCCGACTACCCTCTGATGGCCGGCATCTCAGGCTTCTCTGTACCTCAAGTCATGGAGAACATTAGCGACGCAATTGAGGCTGGAGCCAATTATGGACTCTTGCTACCAGCGGCGTACTATGGGCCAGCAGCTTCTAAAGAAGTTGTCATGGCTTTCTACGATGAGGTTGCGCAGAAATCCGAGTTGCCTATCGTCATCTACAACTTCCCGGGTATCTGCAATGGGGTGGACCTTGATTCTGTCACGATCGCCGCGCTCGCAAAACGGAACCCTGGCAAGATTGTCGGCGTAAAGTTGACGTGTGGCAGCGTCGCGAAGATAACCAGGCTATGTGCTGAGCTGCCAAGCGATACCTTCTCTACGTATGCGGGCCAAGCGGATTGGTTGGTTGCTGGCCTTGCGGTCGGAAGTGCAGGGTGCGTGTCGGCATTCAGCAACGTTTTCCCGAAGGTCTGCTCAAAGGTCTACGAGTGGTACACTACTGGGAAGACTCAAGAAGCCCTGGAGCTTCACCGGAAGGCGGCGCTCGCAGAGAGCCCGATCAAGGCTGGAATCGCTCCAACAAAGCACGCTGTTAGTCAATACAGTGCGAAAGCTGCTGGTATTGGGGGCGCAGAGGGAAAGCTCAACCCCAGGCGTCCATACTTGCCAGTTAGCGACGCGATCAAGACGAGCGTAAAGAGTGCCATGGAAGAGCTTGCTACGATAGAGAGCATCTTGTAAAAGAGGCTGGAGGATACCTAGGGTTTCCGAGTTAGTTCAGATAGAGGTACTTGCATCTCGCGGCATGGCAAGCGTAGCAGACATATCGTCACACCCGTAACTTCGAACATATGATGGACAGGCATCCCTTTCCGACAATATTCTAGTTCCAGTCGTGAAGCTATGAGCCGAGAGAGATGAAGACTAGTAAAAGTGCAGACCCTTGATTTAGCGGCGCACGTGCCTTATCGATAACCAACATTCACATCTCGAACTTTTTCCCAATCCACCAAACACGACGAAATGGCGGCGCAAAGGGGAGCAAGCGGTATCGAAAAGAAGAAGCGGTCGAAGAAGAGAAAGACGAGAACGGAGGGTACAAGCAGCGATGTTCAACAGTTCGCGAGGGCTACGCTAACAACTGGACAGTCTCATCATCGAGCGAAAGTGACAGCGATGTCTCAAGTGTAAAGAGTCAAAAGGTGGCCGCGGTAGAAGAAGAAACAAAGGTATGAGTGTCGCGTTGAACAGGTCTGATCTGATCTGACTCGAAAAAGGATGTTTCGCCAGCGCCAGCACCAGCACCCGCTAAGAAAGAGAAGAAGAAGAAGTCCAAGACAGGCAGTGCTCCAGAGGCTCAGCCAGATGAAGATGTCGCTATGACGGATGTACCAGCTTCTCCGCCACCAAAACAGGCAGCGTCAAAGGCTAGCCAACAGGCGCAAGACGATTTCGGCGCCCTCTATCTGCGCAAAATCGCGGCTGAGTTCGCTGACGATCTCGACAAAGTGCGTGAAGCACCAGACTTCAAGGCGAGCAGTGTGCCGATGCTCATTCATGCGCTCAAACAAGGCGAAAGTCTTTACAGTGTAGAGGAGAGAAAGAGGGTCGTAGGCGCGGCGAACGCGTAGAGAGCAAGGGTAGCATGGGTGGCGTCTGGCGTCTGGAAACGTTTTTGCGCAAAGATTATCATAATGCAAATGTTCGTATATTTCAGAAGGGGGTCCGAACTCGGTCCCATTCATGTGCCAAATTCCCCCCAAAACGGTCATCGAACAGCCAAACGCCTTGCTATGCAGAATCTCGTGAAATCGTCTAGTATGCCTCGACCTCCATACCGCTCCGCCACTCCAACTCGATTGTCCAAGCCAGGAGGTTCGGGTGCTTGATCACAACCATGTCATGGGCCAGCTTCATGACTTTCTCCCTCTTCTCCGCCTTTTCTCCTGATGGCAGCACCATCAAGGTATCGTACGCTCTAGCAAGCAGCTTCTCCTCGTATTCCCGTCTCAGCTCGTCATCGCCCGTCCAGTTGATGATCTCCTCGTATATCCCTTCTAGCGGGCTAGTAGCGTATATCTCGTTCTTAACAGAGGCTGTGGTACCCTCCAGTGTCGCGCCGATGCGAAGTCGTCTCTCTTCTATGAGCCGCTTGATTGTGGAAGCCTCCTGTGTCTCGTGGATCTCGGCGATGCGCGTGTACGTTTTTGACGGGTCTGGCAGACGACCTTCGAGGTAAGAGTATACGGGAGAGGACGGCAGCTGGGTACTGAGTGCGCGTGCATATTGAGTCTTGGTGCCATGAGCACGGGCGTGATCTACGAGCTTATCGATGGCAGATTGGGACTTGTGCGCGTCGTCCCTGTTCTTGTTAGCATTGTTGCCTCTCCACCTGTATAGACAAAACATACAAATTCATGTATATCTGCGCTAGTTCCAGTCCGACATCAATGTTCTCATCAACCTTGGCGCCCTTGAGACCTTCGTACATGCCCCTTAGCCCGAGCCATGCCTGTGGATCTTCAGGCTTGAGCTTGGTCGCGTCATAGTAGGCTTTCGCCGCTTCGTCGAATCTGCTCAGACCGTCGTTGGCGCGTCCGAGGAACAGATAGGCGAAGTAGTTTTGGGGCTCCTTCTCCAGCACTGCTGTCGCTTGGTTCTTCGCTTCCTCCCAATCCTTTGCGCCAATGGCCGCCTTCGCAGCCTTCAGCGCCGTTTTCGTAGACATGTCGTTGATTTGGGTAGCGATAGTTTGGAGAGTAGCCGTCCGTACGGCGCTATTTGTGTTATGAAGGTGCCATGAGGAGTGAATTGGAGCTTTGGTGTGGGGCTCGCAGCGTCGAAAGAGCAGGCAATGACGCACGGCATGCTAGCGTCGATCCTGGGCTTCAGCCTTACCAAAACACGAACATCAACGTCAACCACTCTGCAATCTCCTTGCCGCTACTCTTCACAATAAACCCGTTCGAGTAACTCTGGTACTTCGGATTCCTCTCGTTACAGCATCTGTCGGCGTTTTGCATTGCATCGGCTGGGTTCAAAAATTCGGATTGCTGTCATGGCGTCACACGCGGACAGTGCGCACGACCTGCTGGATCTCGACATATCGACATTGCGGCAATTCGTCGAGCTGTTCCCCAACGAGGGACTATCAAAAGTCATCACAGGCTGGTTGAGCAGCGGTATATCAAGATACCCGCTTGTAGAAGAAGGCGACTCAAGAGAAGGACCTGACCTGAGCGAGGGTGGGGTAGCTCTTACTCAAGATGTTCCAGTCTCACAGGAGGACTGTCTGGTGTTGATGACTGAAGGAATTACCGAGGCGGGAAGATCGCCACTTGCACATTGCTTGCTCGGAGACTACTACCTGTCCTTGGAGGAGTACGAAAGCGCGGTCGAGAGCACAAGGAAAGGCTTGAAATATGCTGCTGCGGAGGCTAAGAAGACCGACTTATCACTTCAGAGAACTCGCGACGCTTTGAGTAGTACGCTTGCTACTGCTTTAGTTTATTACCAGGCCCCAAGAAATCATCTGGAAGCCAAGGGTATCTTCGAATCCATCTTGAAACGCAAGCCACAGTTTACCTCTGCTCTCATCGGCATCGGGTTGGTCCTAGAAGAAGAAGAGGAATATGAGCAAGCCTTCCAATTCCTTGAGAAGGCGCTAAAGCAAGATCCCTCAAATGGTCGCATAGGTGCAGAATCAGCTTGGTGTCAAGCACTTGCCGGCGACTACAAGACTGGTTTGGAAAGGCTCCAGGAGTACCTCGACTACCCGCAGCTCGATGCCTCTAAGCAACGTGGCCGCGAGCTCCACGCACAGACACTTTATAGAATAGGTGTATGTATATGGGAGCTCGATCCGTCCAAGCAAGCGAGGAAGGACCGCCAAGGAACGTATGCGAAGCTGCTCGCAGCGATCAAAGCAAACCCGAACTATGCGCCAGCATACACTCTGCTTGGCATCTTCTACGAAGATTACAATAAGGACCGCAGACGAGCACGGCAGTGCTTCCAAAAAGCCTTCGAGCTATCGCCCTCTGAGGTCGTCGCAGCTGAGCGCCTTGCTCGCCTTTTCGCCAATCAAGGCGAGTGGGACATTGTCGAGGTCGTGTCCCAGCGAGTGGTAGACTCCGGAAAAGCCCGTCAGACACCAGGATCGAAACGAAAAGGCGTCAGCTGGCCGTTCTCTGCACTCGGTGTCGTCCAGATGAACAAGCAAGAGTATCAGAAGAGTATTGTGTCCTTCTTATCTGCACTACGCATCAGTCCAGACGACTACTACTCCTACGTCGGTCTCGGAGAGAGCTACCACAACTCTGGTCGATATAACTCAGCATCACGCGCGTTCAACTATGCAGAAAACCCGACAGATGGCGTTATTTTGAAGAGGTCTGACCAAGAGGGGTGGTTCACCAAGTACATGCTCGCCAACGTCAACCGCGAGTTGAGTGAGTTCAACGAAGCTCTTGCAGGTTACGAAGCTGTACTAGCGTCTCGACCGAAAGAGTTTGGTGTCTCGATAGCACTTCTGCAGACTCTCGTAGAGAAGGGCTGGCATTGCATTGAAACCGGTTTCTTCGGCGAGGCTGCCGATAGCGCGACCCGCGGTATCGAAGTTGCGATGTCGATCACTGAGTACAAGCCGGATGCTTTCAACCTCTGGAAAGCTGTTGGCGATGCCTGCAGTTTGTTCACCTGGGTCCAAGATAAACTCAAGCAGTTTCCAGTGGAGCTGATCGAGAAGGTGCTGCGTAGCAAGTCGGATATGAACATCGATTTTGATGAACACAAGGATATCGATGGGCTCGGACAGGATACGCTGGCTGCACTTTCCGCAGATAAAGACGATACTCTCACCAAGGTGCTCAAAGCCTCAATACTTGCACAAAAACGAGCAGTTTCCAGTTGTGCACATGACATACACGCACAGGCTGTAGCGTGGTACAACCTAGGCTGGACAGAGTACAGAGCACATGTCTGCTTAGAGCAGGAAGGCATTGAGGGGTCGAAACTCACAACATACCTTCGAGCAGCCATGAAATGTTTCAAGCGTGCTATCGAACTAGAAGCCGGTAACTCGGAGTTCTGGAACTCGCTTGGTGTTATTACGACTACACTGAGCCCCAAGGTCGCTCAGCACGCCTTTGTTCGCTCCCTACATCTCAACGAACGAAGTGTGCACACCTGGACGAACCTAGGAGCGCTTTACTTGTTACAAAATGATCACGAACTTGCGCACACCGCCTTCTCAAGGGCGCAATCGCAAGACCCCGACTACTCATTAGCATGGGTCGGCGAAGGCATCGTCGCATTGCTCACCGGGGATTCCAACGAGGCGCTCTCTCACTTCACTCACGCATTCGAGCTTTCAGAGTCGTCACTGCTTTTGACTAAACGTCAGTACGCCGTCTCGGCTTTCGACTTCCTTGTGTCTTCGCCTTCGTCATCCAGCAACATCACGAACCTCATACAACCTCTGTTCGCGCTCCAACAGCTCAACATACAAGTACCTTACGACATCCCACATAAGCACCTAGCAGCCTTGTTCTTGGAGCGTATTGGTAACTATGACGCTGCTGTAGCAGCTATGCAAGCTGTGAACGAGACAGTAGAGCAAGAATATGAGAAGTCAGAGTCGCTGGCGTCCCTAGCTCGTGTTGCACAAGCCAAGACGGATCTGTCCCGCAACCTCCTCGCTACCGAATCCTACCATTCGGCCGCGGAAGAAGCTGAGACCGCACTTGATCTGCTGTCTGAATTGGACAGCGATGCCAAACAGTCAGCATTATCCGGTGACCAAATCTCGAAGACCAAGCTATCAGCTCGTCTCACAGCTGGTCTAGCACACTACTTTAGTGGCTCCTTCGACGCCGCGATACCGTATTTCCGAACATCGCTCGAGGCAACTGGGGCCAACCCAGACATCATCTGCATTCTCGCAGAAGTACTTTGGGCCAAGGGCGGAGAGAACGAGAAGCAAGTGGCTCGCGACCAGCTCTTTACCGCCATTGAGAAGCACGAAGGCCATGTTGGCTTGCTGACCCTCATTGGCGCCATGACAGTACTCGACGATGACTTGGAAACCATGGAAGCCATCAAAGACGATCTGGACCGACTGCGCACGAACAAGGAGCTCGGCGACGAACAGTTGGCACGCGTGGAGAAGGTTATCGAAGCCATCTCAGTCAGTCTAGGTGGTGAGGAGCAAGAGTTGGATGAGGCTCGTCGCAGTGTCATGCTTGCCCCCTGGAAACACACTGGTTGGACAGAGCTCGCCGACGCTGCTGAAGGTGATGCGTTCGCCAGCACGCTTGCAAAGGAAACTGCGATGCGCAACGCACCGCCGAATGGTACGCTTGGTGCTGTTGGGTTGTCAGGCGCGATGGGTGGTACCGGCGACGTGGGAGATGCTCAGAGGGCAGTTGTACTTGCGCCTTGGGTCGCCGACAGCTGGAGTGGCTTGGCTGAGTGTGTTCAAAGCGCTTGAACAGGAATAAGGCTACCTTACAGGCGTGTGATATGAACATCTCTACCCCACCATGTCGTTGATAAAAGTCATTAGAATTAGCGACAGCATTTTCAAATACAATGTAACATATATGCGTAACATTATTCCTATTAGTCGTAACGCCTACTTGGTGACTGAGCAACGACGGTCGCAAGGGGTGGACAAATACCCCGTCGCATTTACGAGGTTTGCTGCATACACACCATTATATCTGAGCAAGTAGGTAGTACGCAACACAATGTATACTTCTACTTGAATATTTCTGTAGAATGCGATGATACGTTCTAGCCACCCCTGCTGCGGGGGCTGTACAAGCCGACGTAGCAACACTCGTTTCTGGGGAAGTTACCATTCCCGTTGTTGCCCCCTAAAAACAAATCAACGCTGATAATATGGAAACCTGAAGCCCCAGAATCTCCGCTACCATCTTTCAAGCTCCCATCTCACTTCTGTCACAACTCCTTTGAGTGGCGGGAGTGTATGGCCGGTTGCCGGTTCAGCCACTTCCGCAACTACAACGTCAGAGAGCTCGAGTTCCAGTTCCTTCGCATCGCCATTGAGCTCTGGGGTGTTCTCACAAGGTTTCTTCTTGTCTCCTGTAACAGCTCTGCCCGTATCATTCTGCTCATCTGCCGAGACTTCCTTCGCTTGCCTGGTTACAGCACAGGCCATCCCTGGGGAGGATGTGTTGATTTCATGATAGCCGTAAGATGGACGACGAATCCGGAAGCCAGAGAAGACATAGCCACGTCTTTGCAACAAGCGGACAGCAACATCGCAAATGAACTCAGCCGGTAACTTCGCTTGCTCGCTGAGAAGCCAGGATGCGTTACCAGAGTCTGCGTAAAAGTCGAGAACAAGCTCCCGGGCCTGGCTTTGATTGGATGTGCCTTCGTATAGCTCTGTCGTTGCTGCAGCCGGAAGAATACGCGAGATGTTGACGCTCAGGGTGGGTTGGCAGGCGATCTCACTGAAGAATGCGTACATTCCGTCGATGATTTGGTTCTTGCATGTAATGTCTTGTAGTTTCTCCGCTAGGACGTATAGTCGACATAGCTTCAGCCACTGGCCAGTACCTCTTGTGACTAGCTGATGTGTGTAAACCAGGTTGAGGTATAGGCGAAAGGTATCCGGGTCATCGTCCGGTAGTGCCACCACATGCGCTTCAGTTCCTCGAAACTCCTGACTAGTGGCGCATTTGAAGAGTTCGGATCTGGAGGTGAAAAGCGTTTCATGGACGAAAAAGGTTGCTGCGTCCTGGCCTGTCCCCACACAAACTTTCAGTATCAGACTGTCAAAGCTGTGGTATGTCAGCAACGCGAGTCATCTCAAGACTTGCATACTTACGCTAGAATTTGACTATCGCAAGCGCGTATATCCATCGGTTTGGCATCTGCGTCACCAAGCTGCGTGCTCACTGATGATGCCGGTGACGAGGATCGGGTCGGTGGTTCACTAAATTCAAACCTGAATGCTGACATGATGACCGAACAAAAGCTGCTGTGTGCTTCTGTCTGCTTTACTTTGGCATCGCATCTTCTCGAGCATTATAAAAGCTGTTGTTGAAGGATCATAGGAAACGAACAGCGCTTCGCCAGGATCAGGATCGTCTCAGTTACGTATCGACAATGCGCGCGCGTATCAACACCACGAATGCTTATTTGGAAAACAAGACTTCGTTGCAGAAACAAAACAGAGTTGTGTGGAAAGCCTGGAAACGTGACCGAAATGTGCCTGGTAGCGGTTAGGCAGGGGTGAGGCGTAGCAATCTGAACCACTTGAAGCCACTGCAGCGCATGTACATGCCATTGTAATAAAACTTCGAGTGCAGCATCTGCAAACGTATTTGACGATTGTGTGATAGAGCTATTCCATTTCTGGTCATCTATAATAAGCAAAAGTGATATGCAGAAGACACACAAACCTTGGCCCCAAAGATGGCATCAAGCTACTACACAGGCGCAGTATTGATAGCAGACACACTCCGATGATAACTGGTCATGGTCTTACTTGTACTATTCGGTACTTGGTGGTCCTATTTCTTCTCCTCTTCCTTAGCCGGCGCCTCTCTCTTCTCCAGTATTTTGTCGACGATACCAAAGTCCACCGCCTCTTGAGCGTCCATAAAGTAGTCGCGCTCCATGTACTTCTCAATCTCCTCCAATGTCCTCTTCTTCGTAACGTGCGACTGGTATATCTTGTTCAGCTTGTCCCGTATCCTGAGAATCTCTTTGGCATGGTCCGCGATATCGCTTGCCTTGCCACGGTATCCGCCGCTCGGCTGGTGTATCATGACTCGCGCATGTGGTAATATGTATCGCTGGCCCTCGGCTCCGCCTGCAAGCAGCAGTGATCCCATGGAGGCTGCGATGCCCATGCATATTGTGCTGACCGGGCAGCGGATGTAGTTCATGGTATCGTAGATGGCAAGACCGGCGCTCACGCTGCCACCAGGCGAGTTGATGTACATGGATATGGGTTTCTCGGGGTTGTCGGCTTCGAGGAAGAGGAGCTGGGCGACAGCGTTGGCGGACATGTAGTCGTCAACCTCGCCGTTCAGGCAGATGATGCGCTCCTGCAGGAGACGCGAGAAGATGTCGGAAGTTTTCCAGCCTCCACCCTATAAAGTCAGCTAGCTCTTGAATAGTAACGCTGCTGAACTCACAGTAGTCTCCGTCACGTAGGGTATCGGCAGTGAGATGGCGCGCGGTGTCCGTTGGTCCTGCTGCTGTGGACTCCATTGCGGTTGGAAGCCGAATTGGCTTGATATCGACCGCGTGCCATATCTGGTGAAGCTTTGTAGTGTTGATGGCCTTGTAGCCCGCCGTAATAGAGAAGCCATGATGGTGATGTCGGGGTAGCTCCTGCCTCCCCGCGTGAACCCAGCTCCGGCGCGCCAAGCCGGGGGTCCGATGCGATCGTTTGGCTCTTCCTGCGCAACACCCTCAACCCGCACGAACCACGCAGTCGCTCCCTGTCCCGCCTGATGCCAGGCAGATGGATCTGTCGCCCGACGTCATGCTTGAGCCCCACTAGACTCCAGGCGTGGGCTCAATGCCGCCAATCCTCCGCTCATATTCCCGGTCATCTCTTGAAAGGCAGTGACCTTGGTCCTACGCGCGAAGATGCCCACCAAACGTTCCGCCTCCGCAAAGACGAGACAGCCAAAGAACTTCCACTTTCGCCATTGCTCGACCCGGTAGCCTTAGAAGAAAGGTCTCGCTATGAACAGACGAAAGAGCGACCGAACTTTGCTGCATTGACACCTTTCCAGAAGAAACTATGGGAAAATCCATTCGGTATGCACAATGCTGTCCCTTGATGGCAATGCAAAACTAATCTTTCAGCCCATGCGTTGGCATCGCCAGTCCGCCAATGTCGCGCAACAATGATCTCCCTTCCCAGCGCTTTCCTGACCTCTCTCCACGCACGCCCGCACCCAACGACTAAAGACCCGTGGCTCCTGCCTGTCTCTCTCACGACTGACAAGAAGCACCTCGGACCCCCACACCGTTTCCTTGGGACTCGTCGGGTTACTGTACAACTGGGCAAGAAGAAAGCCTGGGAAAAAGCTCTAAACTCACGCATGGCCGAAAAGTTTGGCGGGCTGGGCTTGAAGAAGATGGTTTGGAGGGAGGACATGCCAGACTTCATATTGGACATAATGCGCAAGACAGCAGCGAGTAAGCTCAGCTGGAACTTTGGTTTCAGAGGTCGATTGATACCAGTTGCGAGTCCCCGGACTGAAGACATTGAGAGCGTCGAAGACGTGTCTTCTGTCCTCATATTCCGATCGCTTCATAACCGTGGGGATGATATGCAAAAGATGGCAGATCTGAACATGGCTGAGCTGGAAAAGTGGTCAGCCTACTTTACCAAGAGCTTTGAGGCGAAGCTGGATCCACATGCTACCCCAGAAGTCACTCACTCTTCACCACACTGGTATACTGGTCCTGTCATCGCATGTCTGCAACCCCGCCTGATGTTCCCGGAGCTCGAGTTTCATACAACCACTTGGCGAGGCAGAAAGGTTGCGGTCTACAGTTTGACGGATCTACTTGGAGAAGACAAAGCGCAAGAACTGATAAAAGGCAGCAAGTATGCTGATGAGAAATGTGTCGTGATGAAGAGAGCAAGGCACAATGTGCCGGTTGAGATACTGCTCATGCAACTCCAAGCATACATAGCCCAACCAGGTCCTTGAGTTACCTCAAGCGCACTTTAGCTTTTGAATCAAAAACTAGACTTCCTCTTTGAGCCTTCTCAACCTGTCTTGGCCACTACTGTGATCACCTTTCCAAAGACTACCAAATCTGAGAGACCTCTGATCCACCTCAGGTGCTACCAGCCTCACGCCACTACTTGCTGACACCCTCACGCAATCTCCTCTCCCAGTCTGCCTTTCTCATACCGAACATGTGCTCATCCTTCATCTCACCATTCTTGTAAACATTGTCCCTCAGCACACCTTCGAGGATGTACCCATTCTTTTCAAAGCACCGCATACTCGCCCCGTTGCCAGAGAACACCCCAGCGTAGAGTTTGGTCAATCGTTGGCCATTGTTCTCGTAACTTTCAAAACTCCATGTTGTGAAGGCTTCTAGTGCCTCCGTGATATAACCTTTTCCCCAATACGTCTTTCCAACCCAGAAACCCACTTCTGCTGCATGTGCGTACACATCCGAGCCTAGCTTCAACCCAATACCTCCTATTGCGAGTTCTGGCGCTGATCTCTCACAGATGACGAAATGGTGTTGATATGGGAGTGCGAGGTTCATGGTGATCCATGTCTCGGCGTTAGACTGTGTATATGGACTTGGGAAAGTTCCTCGCATATACTTGGCGATGAGAGGGTCGTTGGCGTGCAGGGAAGTCGAAGGGGCATCTTCGAGACACATCGGACGGATCATTAGACGCTTGGTAGTCACTATGGATGATGGAACTGATGTGCCCGTCTGTGCTGGTGTTGTTTGTTCCGCCATTTTGGAGATGGATACACCGACGAGATGTGCGAATACGGAAGAAAAGAACAGAGATGGGCCAGTAGAGAGAGTCCGATGTTTGTGTACTTTTAGTGCTTGATTGCTTCACGGCCGTTGACTCATAGATGCCTTTTTAGTGACCATGATAAGGCCAGTCAGCACGAAGCAAACGCACCTTCCCTGCTGGGATATCGACCGGTGGCCTGATCTAGCGACACTCGCCCATTTGATGAGTCCAGAACGATGCAAGCGTATCGCCGTATTCAAAGGACGCGCAAAGACTTGACGACTGTGAAGTATATCCTTGAACACGATGTTTGGGACTGACCAGGTGACATGTGAGAGGACGAGGCGTGACGTCGTGCATGTGGGCGGGCACTAGCGCAGCGCGCTAAAACGCGTCTGTCGCGTGGGCGGTCCAGCACTCCCAGTTCCTACGACGCTTGCCAACAGCGCCGTAATGTCGTCCCTCGGAGCAAAGTAAGCCGATCCAATTGAAGATATGTCGCATGTCTAACATAGTCCAGAAAGGTTGTCAGAACCTATTCGCGACACACGAAGCGCCAACTCTACGATGAAGAACCGCCTACCAAACGAAGACGCGTCGAGACCACGATCGATAGTACCGAAACGACGACCTTGATCCCGTCGGATAATGCTCCTACGATTGTCATTTCATCTCTCGAATGCGAGCGTGAAAGCTCCACCGACCCTCCGTCCAGCCCCAAAGACTCGCCCGCAGTCTTCTCAGACGAACCGCCTCGGTCTAGTCCACCATCGTCGCCAGCACCGCGCAGCTCCCCTCCACCCGTTCAAAAACGGCGACCAGTCTTCTCGATATTCAAGAAGCAACTCAAGCCGAGCACGCCCGCCAAAGAACCCCTTACAGAACGGAGTCACAATGCGCAAAGCCCACCGAAGCCAACACCAAAAAAGAAGCAGATGGTACAGATGCAGTTAGACCTGGCTTCAGAGACGCGCAAAACATGCAAGATATGTGGAATGCAGTACATACCGTCGAATGCCGAAGACGCCGTGCTACACAAGAAATTTCATGCGATGAACCTTGGGGGTGTCGACTTCACCAAGCCAGTCGTGGAGCGCTTTAGGAAGAACCAGATATGGAGTGGTGATGGGAGCTTCATCGCTGTGGTTGGACGCAAGGATACATTGGCGATGCGCAACCGGGCGAGTGATGTTTTGAAGGTTGTGAACACAGAGCTTGCTGCTGTTCCCATATCAGACGACGAGCTTTGGGGACAGACGAGTCGGACAGCCCAGGCAGACGAAACAGAACGGACTACGCCTGTACCGAAACCACGGCCGTCGGCGAAGAACCCAGCCAACGTGGCACTCGTTGATCGATTCAAGATATATCTATACATTCGAGGGAATAAGTGTGTAGGAGCATGTTTGGCAGAGCGAATCTGGGAAGCCTATAAGGTGTTGGACCCCACCGGTTCGCCCGACAAGGAGCACGGAGATGCTGTCGCGCCCCATAGCTCTTCTATCTCTATCAGCACCGTTTCAGATCCGGTGGCCTTGGGCATATCACGGATATGGACGTCGAATCAACATAGAAAGAAAGGCATCGCGACTAGGCTGCTGGATATCGCACGATCCGACTTCATCTATGGGCTGCACATTGAGAAAGCTCGAGTTGCTTTCAGCCAACCGACAGAGAGTGGAGGGAACTTGGCGCGCAAGTGGTTTGACTGCCAGGCAGGGTGGCATGTGTATGTCGATTAGCGTACCGTGGAGATAGACCCTTACATAGATAGCCGCGGTAGGCCGCTGCAAGATGCCCACGCGTTTACTAAACAGTGTAAGGAAGTGTTGAAATCCTGTAGCAGACAGCGAATATTGAAACGGGAGCTCTAGAACACACAGGGCCACAGAATTCGTTGGCGAAATTGTGCCTTGTGGATAGCAGAGGTTCATTGGGCCGTCATGGTGTACGAGGTACGATGGTGGGGGCTGTTCGCTGTCCCGCGCCGGATCGCCAGCACCTGCATATCGGCGATGATCACGTCGCAGAGCCGACTATCAGCAACAGCATTTCTTGCGCGGCACGATCTCACCGCTTCTCTCGCGCCCCTTCCATGTACATAGAATAATGCATTGTTTTTAGCACCCACCATGTCGTCCGGAAACCCCTTCCGCCTTTCTCAAGCTCCCCGTCAGCCCGCGCCCGTCCCGCAGACTTCCTTCATCAACACGGATAGCAGTGTGCTTGGAGCGCGCAGGGAGGACAGCGACCATGGTATTCCCTCGCCTTGCCTTTCTGCGTCTGCTGGCATTCAAGGAGTAATTGTCTTACAGTGCTCGAAGATGCCGCCCCGCCGTCGACTGGCAAGACCAAGAAGTCTGTCCGCATTCTCTCGCCCACTACTACGATTCCACCGCCCATCTTTGACGACTCAGATGCGACCTTGAACGAGCTCATGGCCCGGCGATCGAGCCAAGGTCGGCCTGCGAGCCCACCGCCTCCCGTAACACCCGCCGGCTTTGTCAACAACTCTGTCACCGCGGGTGAAGCCAATGCCCAAGTTGTCGGGAAAGACGCCATGGCAATAGCGGACGCGTCCCCAAACCCGAGATCAACCTTCGGCGAGTCGCTGGCGATGCAATCGCCGGGTAACGTACCAGCGAATCCATTCTCGAGAACACTGGCCTCGTTAGAACCCCAAGACAAGGAGAGTGAGGAGGAGCGGACGAACACGGGAAGACCGATGCTAGGCAACAGTAGAGCTTCCTTGGATGTAGAGAGCTTTAAGAATCTACTCCTGACCGGAAAGGCTACTCCGCGACCATCCGGTCCGCCGCAGCAGTCTACGAGCGCATCACAACCGGTCGCAGGCGCGCAATTCGAGACCAGTAGTAGCACCGACACGTCCTCGGTCTCACGGCAATCGCTATTCGAGCCCATACAAGAATCCCACGCTGATTCACCACGTACATCGGTCGATATGGCCGACTCGGATGAGGACGAGAGCATGGGGCTAGTCTCCGAGGTGAAGAAGGGCAAGAAGAAGCCCCCGCCTGCCCCCAAGCATCGACACGGAAAGCTCGTTACGCAGAGACGGCCACAGACAGTGTCCTTCGAGAGCTTTGCAGCGACAGAGCCAACACCACCGCCGCCTATTAGACGAACAGACAGTTCGGATACAAACAAGCCGCTCCCTCCAACTCCCGTTGCTGCGCCGCAGTCATCCCATATCAGCACGCAAGATACCACCTCGCTACAATCCCAACCAACCCCACCAGCACAAGATCATCCTTCACCGCCTTCAGAAGGTACAATTAGACAAAAGAAAGCACCTCCGCCCGTGCCATTGGCCCGTAGGCAGAGTCAGCTCAAAACGACGACGACAACAGGCAACAGATCGCGGAGCAGTTCAAACCTTACGATGTCATCTCAGCACTCGGTTGACCCCATACAAAGCCCAGTTCCAAGTAACGTCGACCCCTTTGGAGCAAAGTCACCACCACGTCCTCCACCTTCACGACACGGCGCACGACTCGCGAACCTAGGCAACTCAAGCGCGAACTCTTCCAGCACCGAACTGCCACAACGTTCAAGTTCGGGTCGAACGCCGAGATCTGTGCCAGAACCCCCTTCATCCCGCCGGAGCACTTTAGAGTCCCAACCTTCGTCGCCAGCGCCGAGTGTGCACCGCGCCTCATCTATATCGTCCAATCGCAATACCCAGCGAAACGTATCTGGAGAGAGCATAGGAAGCAATATACCGCCACCTCCGCCTCCACCAAGACGTCGATCGAATCGCTCCAGCCTTGATCAGCAAAGGCCTCAAGTTTCCTCTTCGTCTCCCACAGAAAGCCGACGGACGAGCACAGAATACCGCCGTACAAGTACAGAGCACAGACGGACGAGCGTAGCCAGCGAGAGCTCATTGAGAAGGGAGTACGCGCCTGCAGACGAGAAAGGTGGGAACGAATATGCTTTATACTCGCCAATGGAAGAGAGCGAGAAGAAGCTAGGTCTCGATGAAAACATGGCTGGTGGGAAGGAGGGCGAGGGAAGGAGCGACTCAAGTAACATCCTCGACGATATGGAAAAGTTCCAACGCGAGATCGACGAGTTGAGGACGAAGTATAAACATACGGGATAGTACTTCGTTTGAGTGGTCATCCAGTGGGAGGAACGAGCGATATATATTAGCATGATGCATTCTCTAATTGGGGGATTCTTACTATCATTAGAAGATATCGCAGCCCATATTTATGCTTGTTCACTGTTTTCGCTCTCCCCGCCCTTGATATGTCTTTCTGCTGATAATCATGTGCACTCCATCAGAACCGTACCTGGTCTCATCATGCCTTCATTCTAGCCAGCATTGACGATCCGTCCTCGGTAGGATATTCATCACTGCCCTTCTCTGTGCCTGAAATCAACAACAAGGGGCACTCTGATAGGCAAACAGGGCTTCATTGACGCTCGAGCAACAAGGTACCAACTCAGTCATCCGTGGTAGCTCGAGGAGTGGAAGCCAAGCGCGGTGTGAGAGCCACTTCACAAGGCACAGTCATCAAAGCAAGCATGGTACGGAAGCAAGAGTAATGACGATGTCAGTATTTTTATTAGACTCGTGGAAGGCTATGAACATGCAATACCATGGGGCAGCTTTTCGACGAAGGATGACACCCCATGTCGATGATAAGCCGCCAATACATTAATACCAAATCATGAATGGGGGTATCTGGGTCTTGAGAGAATGATCAAGACAATAAGAGAGAGCCCCATGGATACCAAGCCTTGCACTAACGGCTTCGACTGAGAACGCGACGTGTAGCGCGATACCCCTGCTCAATATAGCACGTTGACCTTGTGTGAACGGGCCTAGGCCATGATAGCCAGGGCTGCAGCACCCATGGCGACGAGCGAGCCCATACCGACGACAGGCGTTGCGAGAGCGGCGCCAGCAGTTTCGACGGCAGTGGTTGTGGGCTCACCAGGGCGACCTGAGGATGAGGGAGACACGACAGCCGTAGTAGTAGCACTGGAAGGCTCGTCATCGGGGACATTGGTGGTGGGAACTGGTCGTCCTGGGGGAGGCAGGATAACGCTAGTAGTGGTAGGTACAGGCGCTCCGCCGTCCTGAGTAGAGGATACAGCCGACAAAGCGGGAGTCGAGGAGACAGCCGACATAGCGGGGGTAGAGGAGACATCTGACAGAGCGGGGACTGGCTCAGACGACGGCTTGCCGGGCTCGGGGACGCACTGGGTGATAGTGACAGTCACGGTAGCGGCGGGAGCGCAGACAGCTGCAAGATGTTAGATTGTGTGCCCGATGCCATGTAGAGGTATCCAAGCAGCTTTGCAGCTAAACCTGAAGCATGTACTCACGGTCAGTGGCGACGACAGCCAGCGCAAGCGCAGCGACAACAGCGAAGATCTTGTAGCCGAACATGTTGATAGCGGTAATCTGATTGGTGGTGGGGATGAATTAAAGTATGTTCGTGTTGGATTGATGCAGCTGCAGAGATGATGGAGCTTTGGGGTGAGTGTCGTGAGAGAAGCAGAAGACACAGAGGTGGACACAGGAAAGTTGTTTATATGACGTGCGAGCAGCGTTTGCAGTCACGGCGGAGATTAGCTCCGGCGGCAGGCGACGAGCAGAGGACGGATTGGCAGGAGCGAAAGTGAAGGTGAAGGCGCGATTGTGGGGCGAGAGCGTGCGTCGTTGTTGTGCTCTGCGCGTGCCCAGGAAGGCACCTTCGTGGCACCACCTCGCCCATACAGACCATGCGTGCCGTGGCGCAGATGCGACTAGCCTTCTCAGCGATTTTGATCATGTACGATGGAAAGATGCTAGAAATGTGACTATAGACAAGCACAGGATGGTGACGTAGGCAGGTGGCCGACAATGAGGTTGCAGGATGGGGTGTGTTTGCTCTTTCTCCTTTGGGACGGCATCGACGACCCAGCAGAGGTTGCGATTGGCAACCCGGACGACATTTGTTGTGGCTCGCATCGCAAAGGGAGGAACAATTCGCGCACATTGGGAATTGAAAGTATGCGCGGGGTCAAGAACGATACTTAGGTGTAACGTACTAACGATATCTCTTCAAAGGGTATATTAAAGGGAGACATACAGGAAACAGAGAACGAGCAGAGGTTTGCAGACGTAAACTTCGATCCAATCAGTTAAATAGATCATCCGTATGCTGAATGATGTGAACTCGACAATCTGGAAAGCACATCCCTGTCAACTTCCTAACTTCGCCTTGCGTGATTTCTGACAAGTCTGGATGCGGATTGGCAGCGACCCCGAATATCACATTGAAAGCTGACTTTCGACTCGACATGAACGCTGCTGATGGTGTGCGCTGCGCTTGGGTATGATACTCGATCAATGATCGAATGCCTTCATCTGCGATGTTGTCTGATGCCATAGGTAACGCGCGTGACTTCCTGACAACAAAACCATTGCAAAGAGGAGAGAAATGATGATTGGAAGACAAAATGGGCGACAGTGGAAACAAGCGGCGACGTTCGAAAGCAATGCAAGCATCAAGAATAAAAGAGGGCAAGCCCAATGTGAGTTCCTACTTTTCCGATCTTACGTTGCGCGCAAGAGTTTGTGACTGTGGTAACGAAGTCAAGGTTCGTTCGAACTTGACTGTCTTGTAACGTCTGGGACACGATTGTTGCGGAATAGAATGGACTAAGCTCCATTACGATCAACCTAGTTTTCATCCTTCCATCCACATCCGGGCATCAAGACATTTGGTCGAGTGCTCTTTGGAAGATGATTTTGCTGTAAACGGGAGAAGAATCCAGCTAGCTGGCCACGTTGGACAAAGACGCGTGGGGATCCGTACTCCGTCGCCACTCGTCGCGCAAGAGTAACCTCCGAGTGGCAGTTATTGTCGCGAGGCTGCTGCAACTTTATCGCTGTGCTGCATGCTGGATTACATTCCCATGAGCGGAGAAATGGCCGATGTTTTCTGCCTATTGGATGTTCCTGGAAACTCAATGCAGTCGCAAACGTACAGAGCCGTGGTTCGACTGGATCTCTACGGAAGACGGCCGATGCTAGCAGTGCCTACACAGTAAGTTTCCTCCGCTTCGATATGATGGGCCAACGCTAAACGTGGCTGCACCTCGTGTAGCCCTGTTCGGGCATTACCCAGCTTCTCGTGAAATCCAGATGCGTGCCGTCTTTTCCATCCTGCATCCTATCCTGCGGGCGTAGGAGTAGAACGCCAGACGGCAAACTGTCGCCACGTTGTTGCTGTTACGTCGGACGTCGGAATCCGAGCTTACTGCGCGGCCCGATACGAGGTGCATACGCTGCTGCTTACTTGCTTATGCTGTGCTGTGAGAATATTCGCAATGGTCATTGGCTTCGTAGGAAGCGAGATTAGTAGCTTGGACGGGCGGTGTCGTAGCGTGTAGTGAGCTGTAAGGCCCAGATGTTTACACTCGCCTATGTATGCGGTGCTGCTCAGAGGAGGTAAGAAGCAACGTTCCGCTGGACCCTTTTTGGCCTCACGCTATTTACCCAAATTATCCGCACGCCTGTAGCAGTCTGCTCACCTGCATATGGTGCCCTTGCATTGCTGCCAGAAGGGATAGCACTGCAGACAGCGGCAATGTGCGGGACGAGAGTATTGCGACAGAAAACAACCTTGGAACGGTTTGAAATGGTCTATTAAAGAACACCGTATTCCGAGCCACACAAAACATGGATCGAGATAAAGTGGGTGTGCGACGTTGAACACTCCTCACCGCATCTGCCTTTAGCTAGCCACTGCTCACATAACGCACAGCGCAGTGCAGACCGCTCGTGCAAGCGAACGCATTCTAGAAGGCCCAGAGGCAGCTGCTGATGAAATGGAGATGCAGCATGCTTAACCCCGAAATTGGGGCTGTGCTGCCGATCTTAACATGAAATTGATCGCGAGCTCCACGCCAGAGAATATCTCGCGACGTTGCGAACCCGCGCTTGAACGACGGTTCAGGCGCTCGCATGAGAACGGTCGTTGGTATCGGTATGAAATGCGGATGTGATGGGCCTGGATGGATCTATTGCGCATTTTCTGATTTTGAACCGAAGATCTCGAGACAGTTCTCTCCGATGTGCTATCAGCCAGTTGTTTCGAAGAGGCTTGCTATACGCCAGCCCACCGTATACATGGCAAGCTAATGCGGCAGATCGAGCGCACCCGCGTCAACTTGACCTCAACTAGAATCCCAGCACCGTGTAGGCTACGGACAAGAAGGAACCCGCGCTTTGAGGAGGGGGTTTGGGAATGAGGATATCTGATTGGTCTGGCGGAGTATCGCCGAGACATGCATGCAAGCGAGTTCAACCGGCGACCGTGCATTAGGGCCCGCGGGGCGTCATACAGAAGCTCCATACCCAGGTGTTGTGTAATTTGGTGGTCATATTTGTACTCCTGGGGTTGAATCGCTCAGACCTTCCAAATTGAGGATGGAAAGATTGCCTGGTTCATAACACCAGGCAGCATTGTGAGCCGGAGCAGATTGGCGTGCGCGCCACGGCTACAGCGCGCATGCGAAACACTCGAATTGCTTCTCTGTGGAATGAAGTTGAACATTCTGGAACTAGAAGTACTCAGTCTTGGGGCCACCTTGGTACATGCGGTGGCGTCTGCGTTTCATGTAGACTTGGTGAATGACGATAGAGCTGCCAAACGGCAAACAGGCAAGGAGATTGAAGGGCAATCTGACATGGGGCTGTCGGACGACGTATGCGCTCCACTTGCCGCATTGGAGTGGGGTGGGACATCGAACACCATGTTCGGTTCAACTCGCCTTGCCCAATGATGTCAATGGAAGGTATGCAGGATAGTTGAAGAGGCTGCGGAAGTTTGAGTAGTCAGTCAGCTACTGACTTGCGGGAACACAGCGCCGCTGTGGGACGAAGCGTGTTCAGGATAACGCAAAGGATACCGTAGCCGGCTCGGATGCAAGATCATGCAGCTAGGTACGCGCTGATCTCAAGCCGTGTGCACCCACCCAGGATTCCTATCCATGTAGTTATGGGTAGGCATAGAGCGGAAATGTACGCAACGTCACTGTGACCTGAGTTTGACGCGCAGCGTTGTACTAGTAGGTGTAGCAATGTGGAGCCCGGCACAC